AAAAGAAAAAAGAAAAAAAAAGTACTGTACTCGTTTACTGAATGATTGTTTATTTGCCCCCACTTACCCTTTGAAATTTACCAAAGATAAGTGACTAGGATTAGCAATCATTCTTTATTTCCCTGTTCCATCTGTTCTGAGTTAGGAGAAAGAGAAAGCAAAATGCAATCTCACCAACAGCAGTAGCAACAAAAGAAATCCCTTGAGCCATGTAGCCCCTAGCAGCTAGCCAAGGAAGGCAAGCTGGGATTTGGGAACAAGTGGGTAACTCGGAGCGGAGGGGCCACAGGAGGCACAAGCAGCTTCAGCAGCCAAAGATTTTCCCTTAGTCTTAGGAGGTGACATAAGTAACTTTCCCAGAACCGTCTTGACACAAGCAGTAAATTAAGTAAACAAGGCAGAAGGTCGCCAGAACCTGGTCTCACCTAGTCCTGATGTGACTCTCTGGCATCACGTGGACCAGGAAGCTGGAGGGAAAGTCTTCTCATCCGCCAGTCTGCCTAAAAACAAACCTTTCTGCTTGTGTGGTGGAGGAGTTGCAGAACTTGTAGTCAAAGCATGGTGGTGGAAGGGAAATCACTGTGGGGACTTGAAATACCCTAATGATTTTAAGGGCTTCTGGAGACAAAAGGGGATTAAACTTCAAATTAGGGAAAAGTAAAAGCTCAGTTAACTCATTAGCTGGGCTCACCTAATTAATCTTGGTAGCCTGGGGCACAATTCAACCCAACAGAATTTACTTACCTCTGGAGACTTTAATAAGCTCTGAAGCCAGAGGCCCTGCCCCCATTGCTATGGGATGGGAGAGTCGGGCGGGTGGGGGAGAAGGAGATAAGGCTTGGAGCTGACTGGTTCTGGGGACAAAAGAGGCCTAGGCAGGAGGAGCTGGCTTTGCTCCCTTCACTGATCTGAGTCTTCCATTCTAACCTGCTTTCAGCTCCACTTATTCATTCAGCCATGCATTCATTCCACAAATGTTAAGTTCCTATTATGCCCTAGGCTTGCTAGGGCTGTAAATTTATTACAGTGTTAAATAAGATATGCAAGATCCCCAACTTCTGGAAATTTACATTCTAGTAGAAGGGCAGACATTTGAAAAATAAACAAGAGCCAGGCATGGTGGTGGGTGCCTGTAGTCACAGCTACTTGGGAGGCTGAGGTGGGAGGATCACTTGAACCCAGGAGTT